AGGAGAAGGAGGAGGAGGAGGTGGAAGAGAAGGAGAAGGAGGAGGAGGTGGAGGAGGTTGAGGGGGAGGAGGAGAAGGTGGAGAAGGTGGAGGTGGAGGAGGTGAAGGAGGAGAATGAGGAGGAGAAGGTGGAGAAGGAGAAGGAGGAGAAGGTGGAGGAGGAGAAGGAGGAGGAGGAGGTGGAAGGGGAGGAGAAGGAGGAGGAAGATGGAAATTGGTCCATCCCTGTATTTGGTGGGTCCTTCCCCGAGGCCTCCTGGGGGCACGGAGCTGCAGGAGAAGCCTGGGGGTCCCACCAGGCCCTGGAGCTGCTGGGTGACCTTGTCCCCATCGTGATGTCCCCATGACCTCCTCATGATGTCCCCATGACCATGTCCCCATCATGGTGATGTCCCCACGATGACCATGTCCCCACAATGTCCCCACGACCATGTCCCTCCCATGATGACTGTGTCCCCATGACTGTGTCCCCACGATGTCCCCATGACCATGTCCCCACCATGATGACCATGTCCCCATGACATCTCCATGATAATGTCCCCATGTCCCCACCATGATGTCCCCACCATGATGTCCCCATGACCATGTTCCCATGACCATGTCCCCGTGATGACGTCCCTGTGATGACGTCCCCCATGTCCCCACCATGATGTCCCCATCATGATCATGTCCCCATGATGTCCCCATGACCATGTCCCCACCATGATGTCCCCATGACCATGTCCCCATCATGATGATGTCCCCACGACCATGTCCCCATGACCACATCCCCACGATGACCATGTCCCCATCATGATGATGTCCCCACAACTACGTCCCCACGCTGTCCCCATGACCATGTCCCCCCCATGATGTCCCCACCATGATGTCCCCATGACCACATCCCCACGATGACCATGTCCCCATCATGATGATGTCCCCACAACTACGTCCCCACGCTGTCCCCATGACCATGTCCCCCCCATGATGTCCCCACCATGATGTCCCCATGACCACATCCCCACGATGACCATGTCCCCATCATGATGATGTCCCCACAACTACGTCCCCACGCTGTCCCCATGACCATGTCCCCCCCATGATGTCCCCACCATGATGTCCCCATGACCACATCCCCACGATGACCATGTCCCCATCATGATGATGTCCCCACAACTACGTCCCCACGCTGTCCCCATGACCATGTCCCCCCCATGATGTCCCCACCATGATGTCCCCATGACCACATCCCCACGATGACCATGTCCCCATCATGATGATGTCCCCACAACTACGTCCCCACGCTGTCCCCATGACCATGTCCCCCCCATGATGTCCCCACCATGATGTCCCCATGACCACATCCCCACGATGACCATGTCCCCATCATGATGATGTCCCCACAACTACGTCCCCACGCTGTCCCCATGACCATGTCCCCCCCATGATGTCCCCACCATGATGTCCCCATGACCACATCCCCACGATGACCATGTCCCCATCATGATGATGTCCCCACAACTACGTCCCCACGCTGTCCCCATGACCATGTCCCCCCCATGATGTCCCCACCATGATGTCCCCATGACCACATCCCCACGATGACCATGTCCCCATCATGATGATGTCCCCACAACTACGTCCCCACGCTGTCCCCATGACCATGTCCCCCCCATGATGTCCCCACCATGATGTCCCCATGACCACATCCCCACGATGACCATGTCCCCATCATGATGATGTCCCCACAACTACGTCCCCACGCTGTCCCCATGACCATGTCCCCCCCATGATGTCCCCACCATGATGTCCCCATGACCACATCCCCACGATGACCATGTCCCCATCATGATGATGTCCCCACAACTACGTCCCCACGCTGTCCCCATGACCATGTCCCCCCCATGATGTCCCCACCATGATGTCCCCATGACCACATCCCCACGATGACCATGTCCCCATCATGATGATGTCCCCACAACTACGTCCCCACGCTGTCCCCATGACCATGTCCCCCCCATGATGTCCCCACCATGATGTCCCCATGACCACATCCCCACGATGACCATGTCCCCATCATGATGATGTCCCCACAACTACGTCCCCACGCTGTCCCCATGACCATGTCCCCATGACACCTCCGTGACCATGTCCCCCCCATGATGTCCCCACCACGATGTCCCCACCACCACCACCACGTCCCCATCTCTCTCCCAGTCAGGTGCCTCCACGGGGGTGTCCCCAACGTCACCCACTGCCTGTGCCCCCCGGGCTTCTCGGGCCCCACGTGTGAGCATCTCGACGGCTCCACCCGCTGCGCCGGCGGCTCCACCGCGGTGGGAGACGCTTGTGTTTGTCCCCCCGGGCGGAGGGGACCTCGTTGTCACCTCCTGGACCCCGACACCGCCTGCCGGAACGGGGGCACGGCCGTGGGGACCGAGTGCTACTGCCCTGCTGGCTTCTCTGGGACACGCTGTGAGGTCCAACGAGGCACGGGTGGTGCCACCACGGCCCCAGGAGGGACGTCCCACCACCCAACTGGGAACCCAACCACCCTGAGGAGCACCAGTCCCACCACGGCCCCAGGAGGGATGTCCCACCACCCAACTGGGAACCCAACCACCCTGAGGAGCACCAC